GTTTCATTGTGTAACTTTCATGTAGAATAATTGGCATCCTATAATATTTCTCAGATGCATTTAAAGTATTTTCATTAGGATTCATCAAGTTAAGCTACCCCCCTCGGGACACCTGTATTTCGTAAGGTGCCCAATTCAAGTCCTAGCTTCTTGTGGCTACTTTGATCCAGCTTCTTGCTAATGCGCACACAGGAGCAGCAAATAACAGCTCAAATATTTGACTCTCTGTCACCTATGTGACAGACCTGGAATTCCTGGCCTCCAGCTGTTACAGGCATTTGGGGAATAAAGCAGCAGGTAAAAGAATGAGAATTCTCTCTCTCCCTCTCTTCTCTGTTACTCTGCCTTTCAAATAAATAAGTAAATAAAAATAAATAAATAAAGTTTTAAATTAAATGGTTTAACCTTTCTTTTATTGGAAGATAACTGTTTTCTCCATTTAAACTAATACTACAATATTTAAAATAACTATGTTTTAATTTCCCAAACTTTTTCCACAGTATAAGTACAGAAATAAACTATGTGATTCCTTTTCAGATTTTTTAAAAAAAGATTTAATTTATTCCTATTGTAAAGTCAAATATACAGTGAGGAAGAGAGACAGAGAGGAAAATATTCCATCCATTGACTCACTCCCCAAATAGCCACAGTGGCTGGAGCTGTGCTGATCTGAAGCCAGGAGCCAGAAGCTTCATCTGGGTCTCCCGTGTGGGTGCAGGGCCTCAAGGCTTTGGGCTGTCCTCTACTACTTTCTCAGGCCACAAGCAGGGAGCTGGATGGGAAGTGGGATGACTGGGATTAGAACCGGTGCCCATATGGGATCCCAACACATGCAAGGCAAGGGTATTAGCCATTAGACCACCATACCCTCCTTTTCAGATTTGTGAACCCCCATGTGGTACTGCTTTTTTGGTCATCTGCAAGCATCAGCCATGTGAAAACTTTTTATTCCCAGCTGCCATAGTATTCTAATATTCTTCACTTTATATTATTCACTTTTTTCTTGAAGTTCTTTTTAAATATATCACTAGATTTTAGCTTCCTTTGGTCATCAATACACTTAAAACAATTTTACTAGATTAACGAGTCATTTATAGTCTTCTTATTTAAAATATTTTCTCTAGTTTACCTTTGAAATAACCTCTATGTTACATGCTGACCAATGCCAAAATGATTCTAGGATAAATTCCACTAAATTGATGTATCATTCCTAGATTTGGTAAAAACTAGCAGGAATCCAGAAGCAATAATTTCCCAAACGTTGACATTATCCCAGAGATCTACATGGAGCATTTGACTCAAAGACTCAGTCACATTTCACAGGACCTTCATGAATCTGTGATTGTAAACTCCTGTATCCCATCCTAAATGTTATACCCCATGTTCTAAAAAGTTGTTTCAAATAATACTCAAAATCAGAATTGAATTCACATTTTCCCTTGATTCCGTCTTAGAATAGTCCCCTAAGATTTGGCTTGACTGTGAATATCTGGAAACTCCCAGCCACAAGCCATAAAGCTCCTACGTGCCTAGAACTCTTGGCTGAGAAATACTGGGAAAGATTACAATGTATAGAATGATACTTTTTATTTGACACAGAATTGGCTGCACAAGAAAATTTGCAACGGATATGAAAGAGGAAAGTATCAATTAAGAAAGATTAGTTTCTTATTTACTAAAATAGGGCATGTGCCCCAAACTGGGCTGATTCATTCAGAAGGCAAACCAAGCTGTGCTACTCCCTGGAAGGAATCTACACTGATCAGCATTTCCCTTGCAGCTTAGGCCCTTCAGTCTTGCCACAGTATGCCCCCACCCCCAACCCTTGGTTGTTTCCTTCCTGCCTCTTCTCTTTGGCACATCTGCTTCATTTGTTCTCTCCTGACACTCTGACCTCTAGGTTGCTCCTGGAATGAGCTAAGGAAACCATCTGGCCCTGGGATTATCTGTTTGGTCTGCCTGGGTATTCTTCCCCTGGGACAGCAGTGGGGTGAACTCCGTTACCCCTACAAACACTTAACTCAAACATCACCCTCCCAGTGCAGACTCCTTGACTTAAAATTATAACTTGAACAATATTCTGTATGAAAAGTATGGGGAAAAAAACAAGCAAGGGACACAGTATTTTCTCTAACCACACTGTCCAGACAAACCATTTTCGGCTGCCACACCAAGTTTTCTCCATACCCTGCAATTCTCCAGGATACCCCAGCTGGGTATCCTATGGTTCAGTTCATTTCCAACCCTACCTGTTGTTTAGATGGGTCCTGAATTCCCATGGCTAGATTTAGCTTTCTAACCTGTCAGGCTTAAAAATGCTAATTACTATTACTTGCAGTAGATCCTGCTGAGGTTGGCACTGTGGCACAGTGGTTAGGCTGTTGCTATTGGAGTGTCTGCTTTGAGTTCTGTCTATCCCACTTCTGATCCAACTTCCTCCTGCTAATACTTGGCAGTGGTCCCAATACTTGGGTCTTTGCCAACCAGTGGGAGATTGGTTTGGATTCTGTGTTCCTAGTTTTAGGCTGGCCTACTCCTCTCTCATGTAGACGTTTCAAAAGATAGAAGACATCTTCTCTTGCTCTGTCTTTTTGTTCTTCCATCTTTCAAGCAAATACAAACAAATAGGCAAAAGTTTCCTCTTGAAAGACATAGCATTGATAGTCATTGAGTGAATACTTAGATATATGTAAAGATTATCATTGAATAGTCCTAATCAGCAGTTTATAAGGGTCAGGGAACTAGGCAGCCTTGGATATGATACTTCCAAACATTGTTTGGGAAATTACCAAATATAATGACATAGACTGATTGTTAATGACACTTATGTGCCCTAAAAGCTTCTGTAAGTGTCCTAAAGAAACCTGTATGTCCTAGAACTGTAGTGCTGATATTTTTGAATAGTAGATTCAGAACTATGTTTTGCAACTGATGAAGCTATAACTCTAGTAGAAACTCCAACCTTGTAATATGTATGCTGTTAAGTAGGGAAGCGACTGGGAAAGGATGGGATCCTATACATTCGGGAAGACACTTGCTTCAACTTGGGACATTGCGGAGAGTCGTCTTTGCCAGTGGAGGGAGCTTTCCCCAACCCCAGTGGTTGTGGCTGGCCTCTCTACTCCCAGTGGAATCAGCCTCTCTATTCACAATGATAGAAGATGTTTTACCTCCTCTGGGAATTAAAAATCAATTCAACACATTCAGGAGCCTTATACCTCAGTGAAATTTCTAGAGATCCAGTGGGCATGAGGCATATGAAGACAAGACATTTCTTCATGGGCTGAAGCTGCCTATCATGGACTTGAGTTATTTGATCCACAGAAATCATACAATACGGGGTGCACAGCAGCATCCATCATCAAAAGGAAAAGGAATATACATGAGCAAGTTCAAGCAGTTCCTGAAAACACAAATAACTGCTGTGAAGAAGCAGCCAGAAAGTCCATGTTTCCTCACCTATGACATTGCTTTCTCTGTCATTCAGTACTATGATTTCCTGGGGAGCTTTTATTGGTCAATTGACCAAGAAAGGAAAAACTCTTACCTGGTTGAGGATGGCTGTATCCCATATGCAGGTAACACTCCAAAACATACAGCTGCAGCACCACGCCCCTTCCTGCCTCCCTGGGACATCTCTGATGGTAACGTTCTCAGTCGACAGGACGTTGGACAATACACCTGATTGTACACTCTACTTTTAGGGCAACTTGGTCAGTTGCATGATAATTTAACAATCCATAGGCTACATTCAGTGTTTGACTGGATGATCAGGGATCTGAAAAGAACTTGATTAGAAAATTGGCTGCAAAACTAATTGAGGAAGAGACATGTAGACAGATTTCTTATGGTGAAAATGTGAATATATTTGTGTCTCATGTGAATGCCCACCAAAGTGTGATCCAAGCAGAGGAGGACTTTAACAATCAGGTGAATATGATGACTCACTCCACAGATGCAACCCAACTTCTTTCTTCAGTCAACCATATCATCACCCAATAGGCTCAGGTACAACAAGGACATCATAATAGAGGTGAAGGTTACGCACGGGTTCATCAACAAGGATTTCCAGTCACCAATAGCAACCTGGCTACAGACACTTCTGAGAGCCCCATTTGCCAATACAGTGACCCAAACTGGCCCCTCAATATGACACCATTCCCTAGTGTGATCAGCCAGGTGTGTGGTAGCAGGTGGATTGCACTGGGCTGTATTGGTTGTGGAAGACAGCATTTTTCTCTTATTGCTAAATAGCATGGATGTACATAGATATGCTTCCTCCATACCTGATGCTAAGAAAACTACACTCTGAGCTTGTGAAACATTTCATCCACCATCGTTGGGCCGTCCTTGACTGCTTTCCCAGGCCACAAGCAGGGAGCTGGATGGGAGTGGAGCTGCCGGGACTAGAACCGGTGCCCATATGAGCTTCTGGCACGTTCAAGGTGAGGATTTTAGCCTCTAGTCCACCTCGCCAGACCCCTCTAAGATGGACTATTTAGCAAGTAGACCTTGGAAGGCTTTCTTCATCCTCGGAGCAATGAAATCAACAGCAACTCAGAACTATTGAAACCACTTAAGCATATCTTCAGACCATACTTCACATGGGGGACACTGGGATGAGATTGGGGGCCGTCCCCCATTCCTGGGTACTGATGCAGTTGGGCTGCTAAGAGCAATCCTTGCCCCTTCTCTCCAACTTTCCCCAGATACAGGAAGAAGAAAGACTGGGGGCAGTTGTCTCATCCACTTTCCCCCATTGCTTGACCCTCCCCAACTTAACTGATTGTCTGCATGGCCATGAATCCCTCTCAACTGTATAAACATCAGAAAAAATAATTATTTCTGAATTATTTCTGAATAGTTTTTCACTATATTGGAATGAAATTTTATTATTAACATATTATTATATATTATATGAGAATATAGTTTATTACATATTATTATAATAATTATAATATATAAATATGTTCATTATTTCCGTTCTCTCTCTATCTTAGTGGTTAAGAACATGAACTCTGGAGCCAGAAAACTTGGATCCAAACCAAGCATTGCAACTAAGACTTGTGACTTTAGGTGAGCGTTTTCCTCTCTTTTTGTCTTGTCTTCCTCACAGCACTGTAGTGTGTGTGCTACTACCCTGCAGAGAGATGCCCTTGTGGAGTAGGCACTTGGGCAATTTTTCTCACACTGCTTTGAAGAAAAGTCAACAGATAGGCACTTGTGGAGTGAGCCAACAGATGGAGGATTTGCTTTCTCTCTCTCTCTCTTTTTTTTTTTTTATCTCTCCTCTTTCTCTGTTTCTTTGCCTCTCAAATAAATAAATGAGTATAAATCAATAAATAAGGTTTTTAAAGATTCTATGAAATAGATGAACCCAAACTTCAGAATTAATAATTACACTGCGCAATTGGGCACAATATATTTTAAGACTCTTTGATGGCTCATATGATCAACAATGGCCATACTTTGATAAACTAGTAGCTAATAGGTTTATTGTGTCCAACAGATTGTCACTGTCAATTTTTTGCTTTATAACTCTTTCATCTAAAGTAGTAGACTTTTCTGTTGTGATTTACCCATGTCCTTTTTTTCTGTCAGTTTTATTTCTCACATTTCAAAGGAAGCATACCGCATTTACTAACAAAGGACTATGAATTGTGATATCCTAACTCATGGGGGAAATGTGAAACAAACTCAACAGTCAGGGATGCCACTGAATTAACAGAGTGGAACCAGAAACCCTGAAACACACCCAGGAGCCACAAAGGCCTCAGCACACTCCCCCAAAGGACCTCGATTAAGATACATTAGAATCCTGAACACAACTGATAGGAGTGAGCCGAGTCACCTTAGAACAGCTGGAACCTTTCACCTCTTAGTAGGACGCAACCCAAGATGACCAGTTTTCCTTTATTCCATGTAGAGATTCTACATGCTTGGAATTCAGCAACAAGGCTTAGCTAGGATAAACTAGACATTGTGGATCATGTCCAAGTAATTACAGATGGAGATACTTTTTTTGTTTTGTTTTTTCTTTTGAAGATCGTATACAAGTACAATTGGAAACATGCATTCTTTGTGCTTGTTCTACAGAATTGAATTCTGAAACTAGAAAAGAGTTCAAATTGATGACATTTTTACCTACTTCATTTGCCAGATTTTTATCAAGGAATTCTATGTCCTCAGCACAATTTGGGCATTTAAAACCAGCAGTGGAATAAGAATGATTGACTCTGTTCTCCAACAGTGTGTATTTTAATAGAGAGACAAAAACAGGTGAGTGGAAATGTCTGCTATACCAGGTGGTGGCATGAAGGAGAGACAAAGTGAATGTCTCAATTGGTATGCTGCATTTTAAATAGAGTGCACAGGAAAAACTCACCAAGCAGGCAACATTCAGCAAAGCCCTGAAGGTAGTGATGGCCTGCCAAGGGAAGCCCATTGCAGATGATGGAACCAAGAGAAGCAAAAAGGCTCTGTGGTGGGACATGTGTGGCATGTGTGAGGACCAGTGGAAAAGGTCACTGTGGCTGGAGAGAGTGAGCAGGGCAGGACGAGCAAGCTACAGAATCAGGAAAAGGCACATCAGAAAAAGAAATCATCCAGGAGCCTTGGCTACTGCAAGGACCTGGGTATTGACCCTGGCAAATGGGAAACTGTTGGGCAGTGTTGAGAAGGGCAGCATGATCTCACGTCCTGAAAGGATCTGTATGGTCACTGCTAAAAGGCTGTGTCTGTAATCCAAGGAAGATGATATCAGGGGCAGTATCAAGAAGCATGTAAAATCTGGATACTTTTAGTATAAACTCCGCAAGATTTTCAGATATATGTGAGAGAATCTATAAGAACAAGAGATTAATCACAAATGACCCTAAGGTGTTTGATCAGAATGATGAAGAAAGGTTGAAGTTACCACTTAGTGAGTTAGAGAATGTGTTGGGGGGGAAAAATAGGCTTAGAGCAGTGGAAATTACACATTCAATAATGACTATACTAAATATGAAATCCTTGTTCTTTGCATAGCTAAGCAGTGACAGGGATCAACAATTTGCTTGAACATTCTTCTCTTCTATAGATTCCCTGCACCCAATTGCTTTTTCAATAGTCACACTTGAATTGCTGCTTGGACTAAACTTGACTATGAACTTCTGCAAGAAGTCCAGAGCCTCAACGTTACTGTTAGAAATAGTAAACAAGTAACAACAGGTATATCACCTAGGTCCTCCTGATATCTATAACGAGCCCCAAAACAGAGAAAACTCTGTACTTAGTGTGACAGGTCACTCAAGAGCAACACATAGCAGGTGTCACTATTGGTAACTCTGAAATAGGCATTGGTTTCAGAGTCTGCACACTTTGGTTTAAAGTATAGACTGAAACAAGGAAAAGCATTTCTGTAACCAGGTATTTATTTCTACACAAAACTATTTTGAAAGGCTTGAACCCAGATTACAATTGTCTTCTGTTAGTCATGGCAGTATTACCAAGAATTGAAGCATAAGTGAAAAAAAAAATGAAAGAAAGCAAGAAAGAAAAAGAAGCATAGGCATATATTTGGAGCAATAGACTAATGGAAGTGAAGAAATTTCAGGCAATACAAAATGCACAGTAGAGATTAAAAACCCAGATGGCTGATGGAGAAAAGGTGGGTAATGTCAATAGTTAACTCTGGGCCAACACACACACAGTAACAAGAAGTGGTAGGGTTGGCCGTGTCCTGTAGGACCCGGCTGGCGTATGACTGGGTGGGGGTGCAAAGTGATGGGAAGTGTTGTATGACTGTCAAATAGGACTGTGAGGGAACACAGTAGAGTTATATTTTTGCCTTATTTCCAGAAAAGTCAGAAATCTGGATATTTACATAAAATCTCCTGAGTTTTAAATGTTGGCATTTAGTTCACATTTTCAAAAAGCCGTGGGCACACCAAACAAAATCAATCTGTAGGCTGCTTTTGGTCTATAATTTCTAATTGTGTAACTGCTAACTTTGCCATTTAGATGCCCACACTTTTAAATTATTGACTGAACGTAGCCATTAACCCCTACTCTAGTAGGACAATTCCTTCTGTTACACGAGAAAAAAAAAATCTTTTATTTTTTAAATATAGGACCTGAAAATTCTGTGTGAATATGAGGTCCTAATATTCTTACACACACACAAGTGAAATGATGATAGAAATCTGAATAGTTAGTGGTATGATAGCTAGTGTCTAAATCCTCACCTTGTATGTACCAGATCCTTTATCGGCATTGGCTCGTGTCCCAGATGCCCCACTTCCCTTCCAGCTCCCTTCTTGTGGCCTGAGAAAGCAGCAGAGGATGGTCTAAAGCCTTTAGACCCTGTACCTGTGTAGGAGACATGGAAGAAACTCCTGGTTCCTGGCTCCTGGCTTCAGATCAGTTCAGCTTTGGCCATTGTGGCCACTTAGGAGTGGACCAGCAGCCGGAAGATCTTTCTCTTTGTCTCTTCTTCACTCTGTAAATCTGACTTTTCAATAAAATAAATAACTAGATAAATCTTTAAGAAAGATTATGATAGGCCAAAGCTAATTTCTCAGCCTTAGGGGATTTATCAAAACAAATTTATTAATTTTGGTTACTATTCTTATGTGAATCTCCAATAAAAGTGGTGTCTGCACTGAATAAAGAGGATGTTGAGTAAGGTAGAATTGGACTCTGCTGCTTCCAAAGTACATAGGCATTTAATGAAAGGATCCTGCAGTATTTCTGTGAAGAATTTTGGGTTTCAGAAATCATGCAGGCTCATGAAAAAAGGAGAAAGTGCTTCTCACCAGAATGAACAAGTGGAAGGATTTTCATTTGACTAAAGGTGTGCATCAGCGTCTTCCCTAGCCATTAGTTTCTCCATGAGTCTGTCTAGAAATGTTCACTAAAAAGCAGTAATCACTCAAGAAGGGACAGATATGGTGGAACTCAATTCTAATGGACTAAGGGAGCCCGTTAGCCATGCTCTAGGCTCAATAATTTTAAGTGGTTTTGCAAAGATTCTGTCTCACAGGGAACTTTCCAATGAGCATCTTCCCTGCATGAAGGTTTCATTTGCACATGTGCTTATGGTTTTAGGGGAAGTAGGAGTCTTACTTTTTCTCTCTTTCTATAACTGAGAGAATAGATATTCTCAAGTGGGTATCTGTCTTAAAACTCTTCTTGGCCAATATGTTAATTGGAAGAGTAACATTCTTTCATAGTAAGGGCAAGTTGCTGAATGAGGAACACCATAGAGTAATGGCAAAAACTCCTTAAGTTTGGAAAGGAGGTGAACTGGGTGTTAATTTTGTCTAAGCAGATGGAGCCTTCCAACCATTTTTGTATAAACTCAGAAGGCAGGTGAATGCATTGTGGGATTTGCTGTCCATGCCTGAATGATTGATGGCCTGGTTGATGACAGGGATTGGTTTTAAATGTCTTTTTGTGCTTTTTTTTTAATACCAGGAAGGTTAGGCACATATCTCAGATGGATTCTATACTGGTTTAAATAAATGCAATGTCTTTAGGTGAACTCATGACTTCCATGTCAGACTTCTGTGTATATTATAATTAGATATTTCAGATTAATTTATACTCTATAACATTGAAAGGATCACACATGCATTTCTTGTCAACATTATTCAACAAATCTCTGCATTTTTTAAAAAGTCCATGCCATTAAATCTATGGATTAAATGCCATGAAGTGCCCCTAGATGGCATTTTAAATAGAACTAAAATATGCTACTTATAAGCATCCAATTGATTATTTGAAACATTTTCATGAAAACATGCTTAAAATTTCTGTACTTTTGCTTATTTCTTAAATCAGGGAAAGTGAAAAGAGCAAAACCAAACTATTTTGTAATCATTACAAAAGGTCATTTGCTGCATATGGCATTGTGTTGACACTTTAAGGTTGCTAAAATGTCTAGGACTTTTGGCTTCAGTGTTCTGTGACAAACAACCAGAGCTGTTAACTTGACTTTGAGATCCTTTGCTTGCTTCTATTAAGTGCTATGTCTATTTCCCTTGAATTATAAGTGAGTTTCTTCCTAGCAACCTACCATGTTTCAATTCACTATTTCCAATAAGCAATGGTCAGGAAAATGAGATTTCAGATTTTACTAGAAGGGCTTTATCAAACCCTGATAACACAGACTTGGCATTTTCTATGTGCTGGATTTTGTCCTATACATTTTAAATAATTTTATTTAATTCTAATCTAAGTTCTTTGATGAAGATATTATTTTATGGTTGAAGAAACTTAGATTCAGAAAGTTTGAGAAATTTGTCAGGGTCAAACTATCAGTACAAGCAGAACCACTAGTTGTACCGGCTACCATTTATACAGGACACCATTTGGTGCAGGTCATCCAACCTTGCTATGGTGCTATGGATTGTTTTTGAGCAAAAGAATGGTGATGTTTCTTTTTAAAAATTTATTTTTATTGGAATGGCAAAATTACAGAGAGAAGGACAGAGATAAAGATCTCCCATCAGCTGGTTAACTCCCCAAATGAGTGCAACAGCTGGAACCAAGAGTATCTTTGGGGTGTCCCATGTGGGTGCAAGGTCTCAAGGACTTGGGCCATTCTCTGCTGCTTTCCCAGGCTATAAGCAGATAGCTGGGTGAGAAGTGGCTCAGCTAGGACATGAACCAATACCTATATGGGATGCCAGTGCTTGCAGGTGAAAGATTAGCCAAATGAGTCATCACACTGGCCCAGAGGACAATGATTCATAACAAAATGCATGGATTGCAATGCATTTTCTGACAGTGGTTATGCTTACCTAAAAGCCTTTACAAAATTCCCTTCTGGTCTTCAGTTGGATACCATATCGTTGATACGGTCATGTGAACAACCTCTGAAAATGTCAGACCTATGGTATTTTGCATGTAAGAAATGCATTTACATCTTTTGGCTTAGTCTTTTCGGAAGATTAATTTTGAAAGTTAAGTGTGGTTTTGTTGTCATATCACCCAGCCATGACAAAACAAAATTTTGTCTAGATCTTTTAAGGAGTTTAGAAAGTCATAAGTTGCTTGAAAAGAAATGAGAAAACAATTTAGAATTTAAATAGATGAACAATTTTCATTAACTTTACCCTACTCCCATTTATAGATATTCCCAAATGCTTACAGAAACATTTAATATCTAGGTAAAAAATATGTATGGAGATCAATGGAGGAAAAAGTGAGGTTGAAAAACTTGGCTCAAAGGAAAACTAAGTGGTGATTTACTCTTCAATTCAGCAGGTTGAGAACTTGGGGCGGGGGGTGGAGTGGGGAACTGACATAGGGCAAGAAGTCACAGGCTTGAAGTTGAAAATCCCTGTTAAAATTTTGTCCCCATGCTGCTGCTGCTGGACTGCGGGTGCCAACTAGCCATGTGTGTGCTTCGTGGTGTCCTTGGCACCCTGCAAGTGCTTGCAAGGTTTTCAACTGTCAATGTCCTGTGACTTAAGACATAGGCAAACCCTTTAGACTTCCTTCCTTCCTTCCTTCCTTCCTTCCTTCCTTCCTTCTTTCCTTCCTTTCTTCCTCTCTTTCCTTTCTTTCTCTCTTTCTCTTTCTTCCTTTCTTCCTTTCTTTCTTTCTTTCTTTCTTTCTTTCTTTCTTTCTTTCTTTCTTTCTTTCTTTCTTTCTTTCTTTCTTTCTTTCTTTCTTTCTTTCTTTCTTTCCTTCCTTCCTTCCTTCCTTTCCTTCCTTCCTTCCTTCCTTCCTTCCTTCCTTCCTTCCTTCCTTCTTTCTTTCTCTCTCTCTCTCTTTCTTTCTTTCTTTCTTTCTTTCTTTCTTTCTTTCTTTCTTTCTTTCTTTCTTTCTTTCTTTCTTTCTTTCTTTCTTTCTTTCTTTCTTTCTCTTTCACTGCCAGTTAGCTTGTGAAGTTCCATTTACTTATAAAAGAAATAAACAAAAAGAAAGTTTCTTTTTGTGTTAAAAAGTAACAGAATATTATTTCATTCTTGCTGAATAACTGGGTTATGGATGCTAGTCATCGAATTGGATTTTCAACGCATGCATAACAGCTTCAGATAAAGGGGCATGTTTATCCAAACATTTCATGTTCACGTCTCAAATTTTCAGGGAAAAAAAACTCACAGAGGCTTTGGTGCAGATGCTCTGATGCTTCTCTCAAAGATCTGGAGTATGCAGTCATATCTAGATCCTGGGTGATTGTTCTCAGATTATTAGTAAATATTCCCAATTACAAACATGAAGGTTTGACCAAATTACGTAGAGAAGTGTAATTTTAGTCCAATTTACATACCTGATAGAACATTGCTTTGTATAAATCCTCTAGATCTTCATTTTCATACCGATGACATCTTAGCAGCTCAGTAGATACAGAAGGAGTTCTTTCTGTTCAAGAGATAGGCTCATAAGGAAGGCACAGGTGGGGCCTAGCTGGGAAGCAGTACCATGGAAACAGGCTTGCAGTTAAAGGGGAAGAGACCCTGGCTCTGTGTGGATTGAGCCTGCTGAGCCCAGACTGCGAATGGAAGAGCTCTTCTCTCTTTTCACTCCTCAGCTATTGAGACAGGGATGCAGAAGAACCACCTGAGCTGCTGAAGGTACCACTGTGAAATTCAATGAAAATATGTGGCCAGAGAATCGAAGGTAGGAGCCTACCCAGCCTCCTGTGCTAGATGGAAGTGTAAGTTTTGACAGCAGATTTCCTTGAACCTGCCCCTACTTATTGCCAATTACTTGCAAGTGACATAGCTATCGAAAATCTGTATAACCTTGTCTTGGAAGTCAGGATAAACAAACAGCTGTGCTGTAGCGAGGCCTCTAGGAAGGTGGTTCATGCAAAAGACAGAACCGAGTCCAACATAGAGCTCAAGAGCAGAGCGACAGAAAAAAGTTTTTCCTCCTCTATGTACATTTATTATGTGAAATGTTTAGTAGCTTCATCATTCCTTGGGGATGAGACAAGGGGGAAAGAATTGTAAGCATTAGTATGGGAGAGGAGAGAAGGGAAGTAAAAATTACGCAGTGAGGGAGGACACAAAGACAAAGGAGCAGAAAGAAGCCTTAGCTAAGGAGGTTCCAGGCACAGCAATGTCCAATAATACAGTACTTTGACTCCAAGTGGAATGGCTTTCTGGGATGTGTTTCCTCACATGTGGCCTCACCTCATTACACATTATCATGAATCCCTTCTTATGGAAATGCCTATGAGATTTCTCCAAAATTCTCTTATTCTTGCAGCAACTTGTTGTCCTTTCTTCTTACCAATATCTCCACCGTGATTTATTTATCTTATCTTGTTTCCTTAAAGCATCTTTTTTTTTTTTCCCCCTAGACTGCCAGTTACTTTATTTTTGTACCTCCCAGGTCATAAGAAAACTATTTTTGCTTCCTTCGTCCAAAAAGCAATTCTCTCGTCACTGCCTGATGAACAAGTTCCCTCCTAATCTCTTTGGATCTGTGTCCATTACTTCTTGGCTGATTTTTCATTATTTATACCAGTTGGCAATGTGGACCAAGGGCCATTCAACTACATGTGTCCTCAGTACAAATGTTTGCTTTCCAAGTCTCTAGATTTTCTGTTTCCAAATCTTCATTTAGTGAACATTTCTGTATGAACAATTGATCTGTCCACAAGTATCTTTTCAGAGAAAATTAACACACAGGATTTATTGTCTGCAGTGATATCCAGAGTGGCTTTTGGAAATTACAGTGTAAAAATTAAATTGGTATTATTTAACAATTACCCATGTTATCCAATCACAAAAATAAATGATTTTACTTGCTTTTGCTCAGCTAACTGTAGACAAAGGACTTTTTGGATAGTTCATCTATTGATAATTTGTACTATTTACATGAACCAATCCACTGAGCCCATTTAGACTTCTACAGAGTGGCCTAGGATGTCCTGACCATGTTGCTTGAACATTTACTTGCACTGCCATGGATAACTGCTTTTGTCCATTCACTTTAGACAGAAGGGGAAAAATTTACTAAAACAAATAGGAAGTAACTAGAATGTGTTCTAACTCTTTGTGGATCTGACTAAAGCTAGAATCAAATCATTCTTGGAGCCATACAAATTTTTCTTACAAATTTCCAACACATCAAGCTTGTCTACTCAATGGCGTTGACTTTTAGGAGTACTTGTAGGACATTTTATAAGAATTTGATTTGCAAAACAGTCAGTAGGCTTTAGTGGTTTGGGTTCTAATGGCAATCCTAGCGATGGCTCAGGTATTTTCATCTCAGTAACCTCATCTCGGAAGGAAGCTTTGGCTAACAGATCACTGAGGATAAAGTACATGGCCATACAAATAGCAGAGGCTTCACTAAAGAGCCTGTTTTGCTATATGAGTGTTATTAACGGTAACAGTGTGATAAAGATACCTCCTGCTGGAAATAACTATGGCAAAGGCTCAACAGCCACACTATTAGCTTTATATTTTCTGACTGTGTGACATGAGGCAGGTTGGTTAACCTCGCTGTGCCTTAGCATCCCCATTTTTAAAATAGGATGAATTTTAGATTTTTAGGTAAGAGATACTCAATTGGGTGAAGTCTATTTAAATGTTTCCAAACCTGAAAACTCTAAGATCCAAAAAATACTTCTGGACCCAAGCCTGTTGGATACTCAGCCTGTACCTAATTTTCTCCACCCAGTGTTGGCAAATCCCCATCTATAAACCACTGGGAAAGGATGTGATAAAGTGTTTTTGGAGTCCTGACTTTCTTGATGATATGTCATTCTCAATGACCATTTAATGAACTTTAAGGCATCTTGAGAAGCAGCTTGAAGAAATGTGTATGCTTCTGAAACCTAAGGCAGCAAGAGACCTGCTTGGCCTTTCTATGATTTTGACCTTGGGCCATTCTCCTGGACTCTAGAGGAAGCATGAAAACGAGCAGCGCCTTTCCTGCCTCCTCTGGCACTAGCCTTGATTGCTCCTAGAAACCACCTCTGTCTACACTGTGCCAGCAGTTTCTGTAACCCTCTGCAGTCTAATCCGTGCATATTTCTGGCCTCCCACTTTCCCCAGGCCAACTCCCTCTTCAGTGTACTCTTGCCTCTGTCCATACCACTCAGTGTCTCCCTCCTGCTTTCCCTCTAGCTCATGACCTTCATGCTCTGTACCCTGCTCCCTGTCACCTAGCATTCTATCCTTTGACAGTGCATATCCTCTGCTCTGGGGCCACCTCCCCTTCTGCAGGGATAATTGCCACTTCTCTGTGTATATGGCATCCAACACAGGTCATTGCAGAGTATCTGTTGGTAGCCCCATGTAATTTCAAGGCTGATCTGGGAGCTGGGTTTGCTGTAGTTCCCTAGCATTGTAAGAGAGGATCCTATGGCACATTGCTAGCTCAGTAGAACACATGAAACCCTGTATTTGAAGTATGGATTGTACCCAATTCCTTATTGCCTTTTGCACCATCATAAAGCTGGGAAATTATAAGACAATCCATCCTAAAGCAGGGACTATCTGCTTATGTTACCCTTGGCAATTGGGATGTGCCAGAGAAAACATGGCATGATAAGAATTTAATTAAAGGCCTATGGATAACAGACTCTCAATAACAGAAACCCTTACCATCTCTAGGCACAGGGACTGGGTGAGGGTGCCAACAATTTCTGTAGCACAGGGTTACTCAATAGGAGCTGAGAGCTGCAAGCAAGAGGCTAGCCAATGAATGGCAGGTGACTTTCCAGGGACACAAATGGCCTGAGCTCATTGTGCTTGGGCTTTTGGTGTCTTGCCAGTACCTGCCATTGGCTAAATCTAGCAGGAAGCTAGCAGAAAAGGGCTCATTGATGCTGTCTATAAATCCTCCTGTGACACGGGGCAGAGTGAATGAAACCAGGGAGTAGACCCAAGGGTCCAAAGACAAGTGCTCCATGTTTTGAACTAGTCCTTGCATATGGCTTTGTTCCCAAGCTACACTGAAAGCCCCCTAAGAATCAAGACTGTGGCTTGTTGTTAGTTTTGATCTTTCACAGGGTTTAGCGCAATGTGTATTCAATTATATTACAGATTATGAGAAAAGAGTCATGTGTAATCCTCCATGTTGACTTTGCTGTCTCGTTATGTATCTAACTCTCAGTTTCTCAATACACTCACTACAAGCTGCAAATTTCTCAGCATGGCCTGGCATCTGGTGTCTTTGATTTCCTTTGCATGGTAACCCCTCTTGCTTATACCATGGAGCAACCCCATGTCCTAGTCCGTTCTGGTTGCTACAGTAAAATACTATAAATTGAGGACTTATCAAGAACAGACGTTGTGTTTTCATGATTCTGGTAGTGGGACATCTCAGATTACTGACTGGGGTTGGCACTGGCCCAGGTCAAAGCCCAGAGCCTGGCACACCTCCTGAGCCACCCAGGTGGATGGCAGGTGCTCAAGCACTGAGGTCATGATCTGCTGCCTTCCCAGAAGCCTCGTCAGGGAGCTGGATGGGAAACAGAACGACTGAGACTTGCAACTGCACTTGGATGCTTAACGTACTGAGCCACAACAACGGCATCACGACTTCACTTCGGATTCCAGCTTCCGATGAATGTCTATCCTGGGTGACAGCAGAGTGATGGCTCAAGTGGTAGCAGACCTGGACCGAGTTCCAGATTCCTGGCCTCAGTCTGGACCAGCGCTGGCTGTTGTGGGCCTTTTGGAAGTGAATCAGCAGGTGCGACAGGATCTCCCACTTGTCTGTGTCTCTGTTTCTCTGTCTCTCTGCCTGTTGAATACATGAAAGGGGAAGGAGGGAAACAGTATGGAATCCCATGATGGCACAAAGTAGTTCACAGAAAGCTGGAATCAGACTGGGAGTCAGAAATGGATTCAGGTTTGCCCTCCACTACTCAATGGTACTTTCTTTCAGTTAATTTTGAACACTATAAATGTGTCCTCCAGTGGATTTGGAAGTGTTATGCTCTGGAATATACATTGGGGGATATTTCTTGGTAGGTCAGTCCAGCTCATGATTCTTCTGAAGGCACATTAGTGCACTGATTATTTAACTGTGGCTCTAATTAATTAGGAGGAAGCCTCCAGAGCATTTTTTTCCCTCTCCTTTTTGAAGGTTGTATTCTTTAGGCCAAATCTGGATTGTTTCTGCCAGGGTTCCCTCCCTGAAGCAAGACCTCTGTAGGTGAGAGAGTCAAGGTGTTTCCTTGCTGCACTCTGATTTCGGTATTTTTGTCCAGCTAAGAGTGATCTCCATGGGAGGTTGCTATGACAACTGCAAATAGGAGTGGCACTGTACCTTGCAGGAGGTGGCTCCCTTCTCCCTTCGCTAGGTGTCTGCACTAGTTTGGAACTTCATGCTTGGTCAGCCAGGGGCCAGAGATGGGGTGGGGCAGAAAGTGATGGACCTCGTGTCTCCAGGAGAACTTCAGAAACCTGGCACCACTTGAGGAAGAACATTCAAGCACCTTTCTGCCCTCGCCATCCGCGACCTCCTCTGGTTCTGCCCCAACCTCCCCCTAGACTCGTGAAGTGGCAAAACCTGTGCCCTTTGCACAAAGGCACAGTGTGCCGCACTGGACCGAGCACGGGTGTGAAATGTGCAAATAGGCTTTTGGTCCACCAGGGAAAGGGAGGCCGCAGAGGGCACATCGCAAGGGCAGGGAAAATCTGCAGGTGCCTTGGAAGGAGAGGGGAGAGATGGGTCTGGGAGGATGCGAGGAGTCGGAGGCATAGTTCCCTGACAGCAGAGCGGTGAACGGAAGGCGTGTCTCTCCCAGCGGCCGCAGAGGGGAAAGACTCTTGAGTTGTAAGGAAATGGGAGGTGTCTCTCGTGTTTATTTTTGCCTAGCAACCCACAGCCAACTGCTTTCCCGGCTGCCGTCCACGCGCGCCTCTCTGCCTCCCCTTGTCCTAGCGACTGGAGAGCGGTCATTCGGTGTCAGTAAACTTGGGAGGGGCAAAGGTGGTGGAGGTGGAGGTGGGTGGGCAGTCCCCTTCGCCCGAGCTGGGGATTGCCCGGCTCAGGGCGGCCCCTCCACGGGATTTGGCTGTCCTCCGTGACCCTCGCACAACTTAAGTTATCCACGTGATGAACTGGGGGAGCGCGGGCGGTTAAGTCCCCGGTCCCGCGGTGGGGCGAAGCCAGTATTGTTTGTGAACAGCCATTAGGTTCGGAAAGCAGAAAAATGCATCCGTGTTTGGGGGCGCGCTGGGAAGGGGAGGGGTATCTGCAGCGATCTCGGTGGAGCCAGGCTGGGGTAGGCTGTGCTCTGGGCAAAGGCGGGGCGCGGCGGGTCTGGAGAGACCGGGGAGGGGGCCGGGTTTCGTTGAGGGTGCTGGGGATGGGGGGAGGGTGGGGATCGGTGCAGATGGCGACAGGGGGAGGTTGCGGAACTGTCCCCTGAGCCGATCGCGGCTGTGCAGATGCCCGGGTGGCCGCGTGGGGGGTGGGGTGCACCCGGGTGTGTGCGGGCTGGACTGGGGGCCTCCGGAGGCGGGGCCTGCGGCGGCGGAGGCGGGACTGTCCGCCCGGACCGCGCGCGGGCGTGGGCGCGGGCGCGGCGCCGGGGCGAGTGTGCGCGGGGGAGCGCGCGCGCGCGCGCGTGTGCCAGGAGCAGGCTCCGGAGCGAGTGGGTCGGCGCGGCGCTGCCCGCTCCCCGCGCCCCTATGTGAGGGAATCGGGGAGACCCGCGGCGCGCAGGGGAGGGCGAGGCATGAGCACGGGCCGGGAGGTGCTGCGGCCGCCCGAGGAAGAGGAGGACGGCGGCGGCGGCGAGGAGGAGAGTGGGGGGCTCGCGGCTGCGGGCCCGGGCCGAGGGGATGCAGCCGGTTGTGTGTGTCTGGCTGTAGCTGACTCGAGGCGGCCAGGCGGAGCCGGGGACCCGCCCGAGGGGCGACCGGGAGGCGGCGGCGGCCTCCGCGACAAGTAGCAGCGGGACCGGCGGCGGCGGCGGCGGAGACGGCAGCCCTGAGATGCATTTTCCTCTGCAGCGGCCATGTTAGCCAGGAAACCTTCGGCCGCCGCTCCCGCCGCCTACCCGACCGGTAAGGAGGGCCTTGGCCCCCCGCGCCACCCCGATCGACCCCAGGCCAGCCCCGGAAGCTTGGGGCGGCTGCTGCAGTGGGACCTTCAGCAAAGTGTGCGGCGCGGCGGCGGGAGCGGGCGGCTGGCGGACGCGCCCTCGCCTCGCCCCGGCCCCGCGCATTGTTGCACGCGGCCCGTAGGCTCCTTCTAGGGGAGCCCTTCGGCCCCGGCCAGACGGCGGGGACCGCGCACTGGGGGAGCCCGGATCGGGTGCGTCCGGGCGCTCCTCCACTCCCGTCCTGGGCTCGGGGAAGCCGGTGCACCAACTGCCAGAGACGTGGGCCGCGAAGCCCCGGCCCGGCTCCCACGCCGGGTCGCGAACTCGCGCGCCGGTGACCGACTTAACTTTGCCGCTGCGGCGCCCCGCCCGTGGGGGCGTGCTGGGAAACCGGAGCCCGATCGCCCTCTCCCCAACCCCCGCCCTGAATCCCCAACCCCAGTGGGTGCCTTTCACTGCGAGAATGGTTTGAAGGCTTTCGATGCCCGAAGGGACGGTGGGAGAGGTCGCGGTCCGGGTGACTTTTTCCGCCCCTGACCCTCTCTTTTGTCTCCTCCCGCGCGTGACTCCCAGGCCGAGGAGGGGACAGCACCATTCGTCAGCTCCAGGCTTCCCCGGGGCTCGGCGCGGGGGCCCCCCGGAGCGGAGTGGGGACCTGCCCGCCTTCCCCCATCGCCCTGCCGCCTCTGCGGGCCAGCAACGCGGCCGCCACGGCCCACACGGTGAGACCCCACCCGTGGGCGGCTGGGGGGCGGTGGGCGGTCGGGAGGGGCTCAGGGCACCGGCGCCGGTGCTGTGGGGGGGCTCCGACTCCGCGGAGGGGGAGCTCGGAGTGCATGCTTCCCTCTGCCCCTGGCCAGGGGCGGCCTCGGTCAGTGGGGCGAGCCTCAGAGCTGCAGCCACAAAGGAAAATTCCTGGCGTGCGCCCCTGGCTTCCCCTGCGGAGCCCGCCCCTGCGGAGCTCCTCTTCCTCCAGTCTTCCCCAATGCAGCTAGCTTTCCTCCTTCTCTGCTCTTGCTTCTTTCTGTCCTTGCTTCTCAACGCTCCCCTCCATGACCCGGTAAACATCCCCCCCCCCCGCCCCGTGCCCCGTGGGTAGTGGGTATTTATAGAAACAGATATGTGTCCTGCTTGGAAAATCGATCCCCCCCCCAAGAGCTTCCAGGCCTGACTGTAGCCAGCAGGGAGTCCCGCCAATTGTCCCCCGCGTGTGTAAGCATGTTTTATGAGTGCTACAGGTTTGAGCATGGTGGAAATTGTAATTAACATTAACAAAAATAAGAGCCACAGCAGCAGTCAAAACAAAACAAGTCACTTCAGGAGTATCCTGCAGTTGGACACCATTCAGAAAGAAGCACAGTGGAGGGGCGAGGCTTGGCTTTGTTGGTGGGAAGGCCCGGGCACCTGACAGGTGCGGTTGGGCCTTCCTAGCCCGGGCAGGGAGGGGAGCGCTCCACAGCGTGGGACTGGCTGCCACAATGGTGGGCAAGCTGCCCTGGGCTCTCCTGTGCCCGCATTCTCTCCGCTCCCAGGGATCGCCCTTGGATGGTGACTGCCAGCTTGGAAGAGGTGACGGTTTCAGAGGACTGGGGCTTCCTTGGAAACCATCTAAGATGATTCTGCATGAAGGGTGCTTGCGGAGGTTAGGGCTTTGTTGTTGTTGTTGTTCGTCAAGTTGAGTTTTCCTAGAAAAGGCTGTTTGGAACCCACAGAGGAGCAGCTCTGGCGGGGGTGGGAGGGTGGGAGGATCTTGTGTCCTCAGTAAACTGCTTTATGGGAGAATTTGCGAGAGGATGTTTGGGTTACAGTTTGTTGCACCTGTTCCAGCTGCAACAGTGTAGAGGCACTTTCCCACCTCCCTTCTGGCAGCACAGAAATTATCTCATGAGCGTCCGACTGTGGCTGTTAGAGTTCGGTGGGAGGATAGATGCTTCTGTATTTGACTGTTAAATGTTCTTGTCACAGTGACATTTTTAGGATCTGCCATCAGTTTGGTTGTTTTTGGTCCGTTTTTTTGGAAGTGTCTGGCGATTTGGAAAATGTAACATCCCTCTTCCCCACCCCCCTTCCTGCAACATGTGCTGTTCTACTCCCATGACATGGTGTGAACTGGGGGAAAAATCCTTGGTTGGCCTCTGGATTGCAGTTTTTCCAGGGTGCACTGGCCAAAGCCTCTTTGTGATTGAAGTATGGAATGAAACTGGGAAACAAAGTAGGCAGTAGTACTGCCGCTGTGACAAGCTGTGAATGTACTTCTCTGGACGCCTCCGGGTGGCGGCTGTGTCTTTCTGTGTTTAACTGATTGACCTGTTTCATCCATGATATTGCCGATGATTTGGTACTTAATTTGGGAAAGATGAATGTGGCAGGTTGCTGAGTTTGGATTTTATTTGTATAACGTCACAGACCTCATGGAATAGGAGAGGTAAAGGGGATGCAGAACTGATCTGGCTCCGCTACGCAAAGTCTCAGGAAACAGACATGTTAGCTGGTTTGGTCAGGATTCCCTGGGTAGTTCTTATCGATCGCGTCCTGAAGCCCTCACGCTCCTGAGCCTAGCTCTAGTGGCCCGTTCCATGCTGTGGATTCTGGAAAATTGAAGAACCTTTGCAATGCATATTCCTTTGTCAAGTTTTACGTCTCAGTAAGTTTTTAGTTTTTGATCCCAGAGCAGTTATATGCCTGGGGAGCAGTATTTTAGAATGTTGCAGGGGAGGCGGGATGTGAGGGAGGGAGAGAGAGGGCATTAAGGAGAAAAATGATCTTGTTGTAGATGACACAGTCTGTAGGTAAATATGTGATCATGGAAAATATGAACTTTGAAATGTATGTAGTCCATTGCCCTTTATTGTCTTATCTTTATGCAGGTACAAAATTTAGTCTATTTTTTTTAAATCCCCATTGGTTCTAAAAATGTAACTCTGTTGGCTCCTGTCATTTCTTTGCTTTTAGTGTAACATGGAAGATATTAATATATTAGCTTTCAAAATTCCAAAATGCTAATAGACATCACGTTCATACTGTTGCAAGGTTTAAAGTGTTTTCCCACTGCCGGATTGACTTGTATTCAAAAGCTGGAATTAAAGAATGACTATTCACATTTAAAAAACAGTAGTCTTTGGAAAAAATAAAAGTAGGCATTTGACTCTGGGCAGCACAGACTGTCAGTATGTTTGAGGAGGAGCTAAAATTCCGGTCATTTTGGACTCCATTCTGTTCCCATGACAGTACACAGCATTTCTAAGATGACTTCGGAAAAGTTTTGAGGATGCCCAAAAATATCACCACAGTAAAACATCAGCTCTTTGCCATTTTATTATTGAAAGATTGAGACTACTCACTTTCTCAGGCTGTTCTTCTTGCATAATTTTTAGTACAAAAATATTTCATAGCCCAAGAAAACTTGGCGAGTCTCACCATTTTAACCCATAAATTGTAGGTGTTTCGGTTACATCCCTTCAGTTTATGTTTTAACATGTGGCATACCCTATGCTAGACATGGCGAATGGTGATGAGCCACAGTCTCAGACTTCGTAAGTTTTTAGTATGTTCAAGTTCAAGTTGTACTCCTGGCAGTGTTCTGTCTTGGCTGGCTTCCCTGCCCACCTCTTTTTGTGGATCACTTAATTATACTGTGCAGTTTGGTTGTGTGATTTTTAGAGTTCTGCAATGCTTGTGGTGCCACGTCCTGGAGTCTCTCGCACGAATCTCCTTAACATCTGGGATGTTCTTAACATTCACTGTATTGTTTTTAGATGTTGGGTGGATGTGCCTGCTGCCGGCACTTTCAGCCAGCTGTGCTTTGCCTGGAAGTCTCTGCTGATACACAGCAGGCTTCGATCTTGTGACTTGGGTCATCAGGGACGTGTCCCAGATCCCTGGGCACAGACTTCATGGGGAGGTACAAGATGCAGTCCTCAAGAACTGCTCTAAGAGAGATGAGAGATAACAGGGATTTATTGACCTTCCTGGCACCTAGCAGCTGTTTATTCAATGCTTACTGTTTACCTGAGTTGATGTTAAATAGGGACTTATCAAGATAAGAGGTAACCCCACCCTGGAATTGCTCTCACCTGGGAGGGTACGTCTGATTTTCAAACAATTACAGTGAAATGAAGTAGATGTTATAGCAGCACTGTGTATGTGCAGAAGGAGCTGTGATGTGGGTCATGCGAGGTTTTAGGGGAGGTGAGAATTAAGCCAGACATTGAGGAAATGGCTTGGACAGGGGGTGGAAGGAGACTCCCAGTGATCTTGGAGAAGGGCAATTTTAAGAGCTCTCATTTGCTAAGCACTGTTCTAGGGCTGCCTGCGTATTACCTTTTTAATCCTCCTAATAGTTCTAATGAGGTAACATTGTTACCTTCTTTTGCAGACAAGGGCACTGAGGTCTAGAGAGATTAGGTAAATTATCCAGGGTCATGCAGTAGGTGCTGGAACTGAGCTTCATTTCATGGGTGTCTAACTGAACTCTGAATCCCTAGTTATTACTAAAGGAGACCTCAGCAAAAGGGCCTGCTGTTTCCATTGGGTCTTGGGGAAGCCAGCTTTGTACCTTTTGGAGAGAAGAGTGCCAGTGGTTGATGAGACTGGATGGACTTGAGTCAATCAGGCTGAACATTTGAGAACCTCGTGTTTGTACTATCAAGTTTTCGCCTGAGTCTTAGGGTACAGCTATGGGCCTTGAGCACTGGCAGAAGTAGTCTGGCCTTGGGGCTTCACAGAGATAACTCTAGAAGTGCTATGGAGACTTAAGGAGTTCTAGACTAACAAGCCAAGGAGGCTACCTCAGTTGTCCTGGTGAGACAGGAGCATGAAATGAGGCAGTGTGAATGGAAAGGGCAGGATATAAAAGAACGGGGCTTCCTGGCGACATGGGAAGGGGAAAGAGATGATGGCAAGTGTTCTCCAGGTGTGCAGTGCCAATGAATCCCAGCTGTACAGCCTGGAAGGACTAGGATGAGGATGAGGGGTTTGATAGAAAAATCATGAATTGACTTTGAGTTGTTGGACATGTCAGTCTTGAGTGAAGGAGACAGATTTTTTTTCAGATCTGAGCTATAGCTGTGGGTGTTCCCTGGAGCCCTGGATGGGGGTGTGGCTCGCTCAGAGAGTGTTAAGGGAATAAAAGCTTAGTATTGAGACTTGAACCCAAGTAAGGGTACCTGTGCTGATAGTGGATGTTGCACAGGCAGGCCAGCAGAGGCAGTTGAACAATTAGGAGATAATCTGGCTTATTTGCAGACTCTCTTTTTGTTATCCCAAAAATGTTGGTGATCATAAAAATTGCTATAGCCAAAAAAAAAAAAGATGGAAGAGAATTTCTGATGCTCAGAAGTTTAACTTGGCTTATCATTTTAGGAATCCGTGAAGCTCCAAGGTTACTTTTGTTCCCAGTGAAGTCCATGCTTTTTATAGCATGTAAGCAGGCAATGTAGATTTTTATTCTGCACTTTCTTCCTTTAGCCCTGTAGAGTAGGTCTGTAGGACAGATAGCTTTTGACCTCCAGTTCCTTTTATTCCCTAGCATTTGAAAGACTTAATGGAAAAGAGCTCATACAGAGAGTAAAAATGGGAAAGAAAGAAAAGAAAAAGGCAAACTCTTGCCGCATTTGTCCAAGGAGAGCTCAATAATTTCATGGAGAAATGGGATGAAAAGATAAGTTTATTTTGATGGAAAAACATTTTGAAATCCATGCATAATTTTTTCAGGGTGTGCACTTTCCCTGAAAGTTTCAAAGGCTGCCTGTGAGTGGCCAGGGCTTTCCTAATTTCGTTTTGTGGACTGCACTACTTCTGGCATATGGCAATGATAAAAGAACCTGTCCAGCTGCCCTTGCACGATACAAGGTCACCTAGCGTGCACTGTCATGTATAGATTTAGTGAAGAACTCTTTTTGAGAATAGAATCCCTGAATCTTTGAGATCATAGTAAGACAGGCTGAAGTACCACCTTGCCTTTCATTTCAGATGAGAAGGGGGAGAAGAGAGAGAGAGAAAAAAAGAGAGAGAGACCACAAATGGTCCTTGGGCACATCACATGTTAGTTAGCAAAAATGTGAAGATCTCGGCTGGCTAGTAAGCACTTGAACTTTCATTTTATAGCAAGGCATTCCCAAACCATGTCCAGCATTACTGTGTTACATACACAGTACTTCTCTTTGAATAATTGTACAAACCTCCAAAGTAAGGATGTAGAAGGGGATACTAGAAAAAGAACCTCAGTGTGTTAGTTGTAAGCTCCTAGATATCAGAAGCTCTGCCACTTCTGTGGTTAGACTTCTTTGATACTAGTAAATGAATGAGGTAGGTTGTGAATGAAAAATTGATTTTGAGATTTTCATATAAAAATTACCCAGCAGGCTGCTCTAAGAGTGTGATTAGGATAGGCATTTGTTGTAACAGTTAAGATATAACTGCTGGGCCTGGCATAGTCGCCTAGAGGCTGAAGTTCTCACCTTGCATGTGTTGGGATCCCATATGGGCTCTGGTTCACGTCCCAGCGGCCCCGCTTCCCATCCAGCTCCCTGCCTGTGGCCTGGGAAAGTAGTTGGAGATGGCCCAAAGCCTTGGGAACCTGCACCCATGTTGGAGACCCAGAGGAGGCTCCTGGCTTCAGACGGGTCCGGCCATTGGAACCACTGGGGAATGAATCATTGGACGGAAGATTTTCCTCTCAGTCTCTGTTCCTCTCTTTGTATCTATCTTTTCAATAAAAATAAATAAATTTTTAAAAAGTTATAACTGCTTAGCATCACACTGTCCTTGTCAGAGGGCCTGGGTTTGAGTCTTGGCTCTGCTTCTGATCTGGCTTCCTGCTAATGAGTGTGCTGGAAGGCAGCAAGTGATGGTCCAAGTATCCAATCCCTACCAGCTCTGTGGGGCTCCTGGCTTTGGCCTGGCACAGCCATGCCATTTGAGAACTAAACCTCTGGATGCAGAATCTCCCTATCTCTCTGTCTGCTTTTCCAATGCAGAGAATGAGAAATAGATGAAAAATGACATCTTAGGTGTTTCTGGAAGAATCCCTAACTGGGAGGGGCTCCTGGCTGTTTTTCCTCTCCTGCTTCTACCTAATGGTGATGTTGAAAGGAAGTTTCAAGTGGATTCCCAGTAAAAGTGGGGGACCTCTTGGTTTACACCATTCATTTTCTTCAGACAGGAATGTTCAGGGGTGGCCTGTGTGCTAGAAATAGACATTGCTACTTTGTATTCCTTGCTGGAATGCTGAGTATCCCAGCAGCGGGTAGTAGCAATACATGACTTCAGAGAGCAGGGCCATTGACCAAAGGAAGGCCCCAAAGAGTCTGGTGGAAGCTTGTTTGTTGGACTGAATGTCCTTAAATGGACATTGCAGTCAGTTAAGCCCAGGGCCTTTTAAAAATAGGTTGGAGGTTTATGAGACACTGTAGCACATAGCTGTGTGGGAATCTTTGGAGCTTAAGAGCACAGTTTTCTTTGTTGCGGAGTCATGTGTGTTCCTAGGTTTGCTCAGACTGCCAAAGGGAAGGGAAGCATGGAGTCGTGCATGTTTTTGGACTAGAGCGAACTGTTACAGAAAGAGAGGTAGACAAGACCCGGCATGGTCCCTGTGCTCCCGTTCATAAACTACTAACTGAGATTTTCAAAGTTTGCAGGTATAGATTGGGCATGACACCTGTGGTGTGTCAGTTCCTATGCTGAATGTTTTGGTTGCAATAATGAATGAGAGAGTGGGTTCTGGAGTTGATTCTGAAGACCATGAATGTGACCAGCAAACTGCTTTCTCTTTGGCATAGCATTTGCAGGCTCCTCTCTTCAGAGTCCCATGTTGCATAGCCTTCTGCAGCCCCTTTTCTTTTGAGTGTCCATAGCCTGTCTGCATTGCACTCACTCTCCCTGCCAGCCTATTCCAGCTCTTTCTGTTTCCTATTCTGGTCGTGAATTCAAACCACACCAGATGTTGTGAGGGTCAGGAATGGGGGCTGGCTTGGAGAACATCCCATGCAAACAGAGGCCTTCTCTTCTGTTGATGCGTCCCATCTGTTTTCCAGATTGGCGGCAGTAAGCACACCATGAATGATCACCTGCATGTCAGCAGTCACAACCACGGACAGATCCAGGTTCAGCAGCTGTTTGAGGACAACAGTAACAAGCGGACCGTGCTCACAACACAACCGAATGGGCTTACGACAGTGGGCAAAACAAGCTTGCCCGTGGTGCCAGAGCGGCAGTTGGAGAGCATTCACAGGCGGCAGGGGAGCTCCACGTCCCTCAAGTCCATCGAAGGCATGGGGAAGGTGAAAGCCACGCCCATGACACCCGAACAAGCAATGAAGCAATACATGCAAAAACTCACGACCTTCGAACACCATGAGATCTTCAGCTACCCTGAAATCTATTTCTTGGGTCCAAATGCCAAGAAGCGCCAGGGCATGACGGGCGGGCCCAACAACGGTGGCTACGATGATGACCAGGGATCTTACGTGCAGGTGCCCCACGACCATGTGGCTTACAGGTACGAGGTTCTCAAGGTCATTGGGAAGGGGAGCTTTGGGCAGGTGGTCAAGGCATATGATCACAAAGTCCACCAGCACGTGGCCCTGAAGATGGTGCGGAATGAGAAGCGCTTTCACAGGCAGGCGGCTGAGGAGATCCGCATCCTGGAACACCTGCGTAAACAGGACAAAGACAATGCCATGAACGTGATCCACATGCTGGAGAACTTCACCTTCCGCAACCACATCTGTATGACCTTTGAGCTGCTAAGCATGAACCTCTATGAGCTAATCAAGAAGAACAAATTCCAGGGCTTCAGCCTGCCTTTGGTTCGCAAGTTCGCCCACTCGATTCTGCAGTGCTTGGATGCTTTGCACAAAAACAGGATCATTCACTGTGACCTTAAGCCCGAGAACATTCTGTTAAAGCAGCAGGGTAGAAGTGGCATCAAAGTGATCGATTTTGGCTCCAGTTGTTACGAGCATCAACGTGTCTACACGTACATCCAGTCGCGCTTTTACCGGGCTCCCGAGGTGATCCTGGGGGCCAGGTATGGCATGCCCATCGACATGTGGAGCCTGGGCTGCATTTTAGCAGAGCTCCTGACGGGTTACCCGCTCTTGCCTGGGGAAGATGAAGGGGACCAGCTGGCTTGTATGATCGAACTGTTGGGCATGCCTTCCCAGAAACTGCTGGATGCGTCCAAACGAGCCAAAAATTTTGTGAGCTCCAAGGGCTATCCCCGTTACTGCACTGTCACGACTCTGTCAGATGGCTCCGTGGTCCTCAACGGAGGCCGCTCCCGGAGAGGGAAGCTGAGGGGTCCACCAGAGAGCCGAGAGTGGGGGAATGCACTGAAGGGGTGTGATGATCCCCTTTTCCTTGACTTCTTAAAACAGTGTTTAGAGTGGGATCCTGCAGTGCGCATGACCCCAGGCCAGGCTTTGCGGCATCCCTGGCTGAGGAGGCGCTTGCCAAAGCCTCCGACCGGGGAGAAGACATCAGTGAAGAGGATAACCGAGAGCTCTGGTGCTATCACGTCGATTTCCAAGTTACCTCCACCTTCCAGCTCAGCATCCAAACTGAGGACTAATTTGGCACAGATGACGGATGCCAATGGGAATATTCAGCAGAGGACAGTGTTGCCAAAACTTGTGAGCTGAGCTGCAGTCCCCCAACAGACCATGCTGGTAATCTGAAAGATACGATGTTGCTGAGCCTTACCGGTTGAAGAGGAGTAGCTCAGACCTGTTTTTATTTGTTCAATAACTCTACTCATTTGTATCTTTTCAGCACTTAATTTTCATGTAAGAAAGTTGTTTGTTTTGTTTTTATAAAATACATGGGGACAATGCTTTAAGTTTTTATACTTTCCGAAACCGGTTTTTTTGTGTGTGTGTGTTTGCGTGCGTGTGGGCGTGTGTGTGTGTTCTCCAAGTACGATGAGCCTTACTGTATTTAGTGTGGCAGAGGAATACTGTCAGTGGCAGGCCATTGATTGCGTCATGACTGCCATGCATCTACAGATTGGTATCACAGACGTTCATTATGCTTTTCTGGTTCATAATATGTTCACCCCAGGGTGATGGCTCTGTAAGTCCCTCTTCTCCCCGTGCCCAGGAATGGCATGTCCTGCTTCCTTTGCCCATGAATTTATCTGAGTGATAGTGGTGGTGGGGAGGAGGTGGGTGGGTCGGGACATACTTTAAGAGTGCACCTTAGAGATTTATGTCTTCCCCCAAGGTAGTTCTCAAACACAAACCCTGATTCCTCTGGTTTAACTTGCCCAGTTAGCATTCTGGCACTTGAAAAGCCAGCGAAGCAGCCATTAGTGCATGATTGAAAAGGGACATGTGTGTTCCTCCTAGTTCACTGCTGTGATTGGCATGCTGTTTTGTCAAGAAACCTCGCGTCACAGAATTGGTCTGGCGCCTACATTTAGAAATGTATCCCACGACCACCCCCTACTTCTCTTTCTGCTTTTGTCCTCTCTGTTCCTCTTTCGCCACAAATCTGTTGCCTGCGTCTAGCTTGGTCTCCTTCCCTCAACCGTGTGCCCTAGGATACAGAAGAGACAGTTCAGCCGTGAGGATGACCGTGTGTACAAAGAATAGCAGCCTAGCTACTTACGAGGTGGGGATTTGTGCAGTTCCAAAGTAGATTGGGCAGATTAGGCTCTGTTCCTACTGTTCAGGTGCCATGGTCAGGTTCCCTGCGCCTGGGAAAATCACTGAGCTCTCTTCAAAAATAGGGAGGGTTGAAAAAACCTCCGGATGAACACAAGTCACTATGGCTATTCAGGAAGGCCAATTTGAATACCACATTTCCAGGAGGAAAAAAGTTCAACCTCAAGAAATGATTTGACTTAGACTTTGCATTGTTAGAAGAACCACAGAGATTGCATTCCTCTATTTTTATTTTACTTTCGTTTGGATTGCACTGATTGCTTTTGTGGGAATGACACTTTACCTGGAAAAGTAACTGAGAGTTAAGGAAAAGAATATTTTCTTCTCTGAATAATAATTATTTTCACAGTGAAAATATCAGTATTTTATCACTAAAGTATGAGCAGTGGTATCTATCCATTTCAAGGCACGTGGACAAAATTTTTTAGTATGTGCAATTTAATCTAGAAAGATATCTGCCTGTTTGGATAATAGGTCTGGGATAGTATAAATTAGGGTAAGTAGTATTTTATATGCACAGATATTATTGTATTGCCTGTAAACTGACTTATAAGTACTTAAAGCATGGTCCCCAGTGAGGCCAAGAAAGTTTCCGGTTAAGTTCCTTTCTGATCTTATTCCTGCATTTCCTCTCTCTCTCTCTCTCTCTCTCTTTTTTTTTTTTTTTTTTTTAAGGAAAGTAGTTTTGAACGAACCACTTTACTTATCATGAGGCTTTGTTGGTTGATGGTGGGGAAAAAATGCTCAGGAAATACTTCAGATATTTGCCAAAAAACAGTAATAAGGTTAGCTTATTAATAAGGTAATAATACTGATACTTGCTTTACTGTTTAAGGGTGTCATAGATAAATTAATTTGTACTCCAGTGTTTAGAAAGGATTCCTTCTCTACCCTTGTCAGATTCTTTGGCATGGGGAACCCATTTCTGTGTGACCCTTGAAAGTGCAATATCATGTCAGGAAGTTGCATCTTAACTGATGCTCATGTCAGGATACCCCCAATCAGTGGCTTGTAGAATTTAAAGATTTGTGTATTTATCGCTTAAAAGGTGTAACAAGTGTGAGGAGAAGATGGTCTGGTGGCTTTGTAAAAACCACAAGCTTCTTAATGATCATGAACTTCTTTAGATCATTGAAAGTACATAAGACTGTATCAAAGACTATTTCCCCCTCATAAGGCTCCTCCTCCGTTTCCATGTTTATGTTGACGTGCGTGAACCCGAGCTGCCATGATCCATTTACCCGTACAGTGACTATACGCACATGCACACACTTGTCTTTCCCCCATCACTCGAAACTGGTTCTTAAGATGCCAGCATTTCTGACTGCCTGCATTCACAGAAGCAACCGGAAACTTTTAAGCCAAAACTATGATGTGCAGCACTATGGGACATTTTTTTTTTAATTTTATTCAGATGCAGTGAGATTTCCTTTGTTCACAAGAGCTGCCACATTTTGGTATCTAGTAATAGAGCTGCTTTTAAAAATTCTAGCTTGATTGTAATGTCAGTGAAGATGTCGCATCTTACGTGATTTTAAACCACAAATCCATGAAGGGCTCTAATAGGCTACTAGGAGTTGGCTTGGAAACAGTCCTTGGTCTCACAGGTTACCATTGTCTAGGGATGTCTGAGCTGTTTTCAGATGTAGGGATAGCACAGTGTTGTCTTTGGTTGCAGTCGCATTTGGCTCTGTTTCTTGCACCAGCGACGTGTTCATGACCATGTTAAGTGTCGCTACAACAGTGGAACAACAGAGTGATGCAAGACAGTATAGATGAACAGTAGAGGAGAAATTGTGCCCTTAGTGTTAACAATGTGCCTTTTGTTCTGAATGCCATGTTGTAGGGCATGCATTTTTTGGCCTCTTTAACTCTTTGAATACTAGGTAGGAAGGATGGGACCCACCTCTGGAAAGATACATCTGTCTTAAATATCTAGTTCCAGGCCTTAATAGAAACCATAAGGCATGAATCACCATCAGGCACTAAAAAGAGAAACCATTGGTTAGTTAGACAGGGAATTCCTGTTTTAAGGGGTTAAAGATGGTCTTTGTTGTATCTTAACATCAGACTGATTTTTTAAATGATATTTTTTTTTGTTATGCTAACACTAGACAAAAATCAACTGTATTTGTAAAAATTTACCTCAAACCATTTAATTTTATAGTGTGATTAATCCCAGGGCATTTGGTATGAACCAAAGTGCATTCCTTTTCTATGTGCCTGGCTCTAGTAAGAATGGCCAGGGATTTTTACAATTTGGGTGCAAGGCACTTAAGCCACTTTTAAACTTAACAGGTGGTTTGGAGTCACGTTAAATGACTCCACTGGAATGTTAGGACACACTTTAGGCATCAGTAGCATTGGGCCATATTGGAATCTTAAAATATAAGTGTGAATTATTTTAAAGAGAGCATTCATTTTTGTAATTATTTTCATCAAGAATATTTCTGGTAAGCAGAAGACTTTTTAAAAACTCTGATTTGGTTGGTCAAGGTTTTAATATTGCCCAACGTAATGCTGTGGTAGCATTAAAAAAAAAAAGTATTTGTGAACTCTTTGTTTCTTAGGGGCTTGTACATCTCTCTGCTATGGACATATGAAAAATTCATTGTAATTATACTCAGCTCAACTGCTACAGTTATGTCTAGGCAGGGGCTTGGGTTTTTATCGAGCAACAACTTAGACACGTGACTGTAATATGCTGCAACTGTGTGTACTGAAAATATGTGAAAATGGTTGAATGTGGACTGTGTATATATGTATGTAAACATTTCTGTGAGATGCTGCTGTCGCCACTTAACATGAAATATGTTCTAGTGGATTTTAATCCTAGTGGCCAGTTCTATGATACTGTATGTATTGTACAGCTGATGACAGAAGTAAGACTGTTTAGTGAATATTTGTTAAAATTTATTGTTGTGGCCAGAGATAATTTCAGAATAAAATTTTAATGTCCTACCTAACTTTTCTCCCCTTCTCTAACTCTAATTTAAGTCCTGATCTCTTTCCGGTATTATTCTTGGTCTGATAGTCCAGAGAGGGTTTAGAAAGCCAAATACACCAGTCAGTGCCTTGACAAAGTCAGCCTACTCGTATGTGCATCAGCAAGAATTTGTTTAGCAATCCACTGTGCCTAGTGCAAACTCAAAGTAAGAAGGTCTGAAGATGTAGTAGGTAGATCCTTTCTCAGGATCACCGTTGTTAGTTTAATGTGTCCTTTGTAGTGGTCCTTTCTTTGGGGGGGCACTGAAGCTGCAGGTCGCCTTCCCTCTTTCCTGTCAACTTCTGCTTAGTGCTTTTCAGTGCTTACATACATGTTTGCGGTTTTTGTTCTTGGAGTGCCTAGGGGAGATCAGGACCTTCTCCTGACCCTGGTTGGGTCAGAAAAGCAGGCCTACGAATTGCAGCTAAAGCTTGTGAAGAACATTCAGCATCCAACTCAGACTGCCTACAGACAGTAGCAGGCAGGTGCTCTGGATTTGTCAGACACGGCATGGATGTTACACAGACCTAGATTTCCCTCTTGTGAAAGTGCTACCTCACGTTTTCATCTACATCCCTCCTGCCACCAACAGCCAAGAAATGACTGTGGCTTCCATCTTTAACAGTGGAATTCGTTAAAGTGAAGCAAGGCTGTAAGGATTCCCAAGCCTTACTATTGCCTAAGCCCTGGCACGCTTGCATTGCTTAAATTGTTTCTCAAAGTTGCACCCAGTGAAAAGTATACACACACACACACACACACACATAAATTATATAGAAAATTTTGAAGGTCTGCATTTTTTGTGGAATTCAAAAGTGGTGCTCAAGTAGCAATTTAAATTTAAAAACAAAGTCCAGATTTGACTTAGAGCAGATTATAGTTCCCACTGGTAAACTGATTAATACTATATTGTATTTGAATCTATAATCTTTTCTCTTTTGGAATTGGCTGCTAAAAAGTATTCTTGGAACTTCAAAGTTGCCTTTAAAATAGCACAAGAGAAATTTCCTGGCTGACTTTGATATTGGTCTTTTAAAAAGGAGAAATCGGTCCGATTACTTTGTTTTGGAAAGAGAACATTTTGAAGAAAGGGTATTTGTGGTTTTGCTTCAATTGTTTTTCTTTTCTTCCTTGAAAGTTTGAATCACATTGCATTTCCTTTGGGCCATTAGACAAAGAAATACTTGTCATTG